CCGCTCGATAGAGAAGTTCCCTGACAGAGAGACTCGAGTTTTGGACCAAAATCTCACTTGTTTCTGGGTCAGCGCAGTGCCCTGGACGTGAGTGCCACAGGGCTCACAGCCAAGAGACCTGGGGGCGGGCCGCCTGCCTTCTCGGTTCTTCCTGCCCCACCTGCCCCCCGCACTGCAGGCCACTCAGCTCCCTCCACCCCCTGGGTGGCGGGGACTCTGACCGTTGGGCGAGTGCCGTGAGCGGCGGCGGGCGGGGCAGCTGCCCAGGAACCCGAGGGCTCATCTGATGGCGGCCGCCCCCCCCTCTGCCCCAGGCCTCGTGTATGACACGCTGATGCTGAAGCACCAGTGCACCTGTGGGAACACCAACAGCCACCCGGAGCACGCCGGGCGCATCCAGAGCATCTGGTCCCGGCTGCAGGAGACCGGCCTTCGAGGCAAATGTGAGGTAAGGCCGGCCCGCGGGCAGCGAGGAGGGCGGCCCATGCGGGCCGCGTGAGCCAGGGCTTGAGTGGGGGAGGGCCTGGGGGAGGACACGGGCCCTGCAGGCGGGTGCACGGGCCTGGCTTCCAGAGGAATGCCAAGCTCTCCTATCCTGCACCTCCTCTCGCACACTCCTGTTCTCTGGGAAGCCAGCCCGTAGCCAGGCTCCCCGTCAGCGCCCAGGTCACGTGGCCAGGCCGTCCCAGGGCCTCTGCCGCAAGGGCGGGGTCTGGGGGATCCGTCATCCTGTTGGCTTTCCCTTGGAAGTTCTCTTGAATTTTTCCGAGAGCCTCTCCCAGGGTGTGGGGAGCCTCCGGCCGCCGAGGCAGGGAGGGTGCGCGGGCCGGTCTGGTCTCCTTGGCGTTGGTTCCCAAGCACAGCACTGCCCCCGCCTCTACCCCTCTGAGCGGCGGGTCCTCGCGTCTGTCCCAGCCGCCTGGCAAGGCGACCACGCTGCCTGCCGACAAGGCGGGCTGAGCTGCCTCTGCTCCGGCCCGTCGGGGCCTGGGATTCACGCTGCCCACCCACCGTTGCAGTGGCCCCAGGCCCATGAGGACAGGACGGCTCTGCTGAAGGGCCTTTGAGGCTCCTCCATCCTTCTGATGGGCGAGAGGCGTTTCCTGGCATGCGGCTTCAAGAGGGTCTTGAGCTCTGGGGTGAGAGGAAGCGGAGGACCGTTTGTGCGGGTGCACGGGGAGGAGGGTGGGGGGAGCTCCAGGCCATGGGCGCCACAGCATCGTCATCCGTGGAGCGGGGCAGGTGGCACCCCCTCCCAGGAGCCCTCTAGGACAGTGGCAGCCAGCCCTCCACGTGCCCACCAAGTGGGGGCCTGCTGTCGCCCCACACGCTGGGAGCCCTGTGAAGCCGGGGATGGGGTGCAGTATGGCGTGTGCTGCCCTGCAGGCCTGGAAAGCTAGAGCCCCGTGGATGAGCAGAACGTCCGTGTCCGTCCTTCACAGCCCAGTGCCACCTGGGCGAGGCCCGGAGCAGCCCGTCTGGAGGGCGGGTGTGGTCCGAACCCCGCTCTGCCCCCCATCCAGCCCACCTTCCCCAGAAGCCAGAGTATTTAGGAGTTGAGGTCAGTTGTCCCACATGACCCCATCTCTCTGCCAGTTTATGGCGATACATGGTGTTTGGAGGGGAAAGCACGGGGCCTGGGTCCAGAATCCTGTCCTGGAGTCCCTCTGGAGAGGACGGGGACCCCGAGGTTGTGGGCTTGGAACCCTGGGCATCTGCTCCCAGATCCCGCGAGGCTGCACCACTGGGGGGCAGCATCGCCCCGGCGGACGTGCCCTCATCCTCCGCTGCAGGACCACCACCCCGCCCCGCCTCCCAGGAGCCGCTTCCTTCACCCCCAGGAGGGTCCCCTCGGGCCCGGGGCCTCCAGGGTAGTTTCAAGGAAGGAGACGGAGGCGAGGGGAGCAGACCGAGCTGCTCGTCCATCCCCCTGGCACTGAGGGCCGGCGCCGATGGCCGCGGGGGCCCCTGGGTACCGAGGAGACCCAGGGTGAAGGACCAGGCGTGCCCTCGACGTGCGGGGATGCTCACCGTGCGGGGCACCTTCAGGTCCAGAGGGTGATGCGTGTTCCCTCGGCTGAGGGAACACGGGTTGTTGGAGGGGCCCCGACAGAGGAGAAGCAGAGGCACCGGGCGACCCCCCGGTGCCCAGGCCTCCCGGCCAGCGTCCCTCACTCCACGGGGTGGGCAGCTTTCTCTGTGGCCTCATGGCCCCTCCACGAAGAGGAGGCCAGACCGGCAAAGCCTCGGTCACAGCCGGCCTCCGGCTCCCCTGCCCTGTGCTCCTGCGTCGGCGGCGTCTCTGGGAGGCCTGTTGTACCGTTAGGAGCGGTTCTGCCGCCTCCCTGGAGGTTCCTGGGGGGAGCGCAGCTCCTGGCCTGCCCCTGCACGGGGGTGCATCCGGCCCAGCGAGCCCACGGGCTCCTCCTGGGCCCCCAGGGTCCTGTTGGCTCTTCCTGTGTCGCTCTGGCCCTCGGAAAGTATAAAGAAGTGTCAACTGGAATCCCGCTTCACAAACCAGCCTCCTTCACAAAGGTTAAGTAAATGTAGCTCAGCTCAAGATAATTTCTGGAGAACATCTGAAAATAGCCGAGGCGTCCAGATTTGAGGAATTTCCAAACTGAAGAAAAATGCGGACGGACACGCAGATCGCGGTGTCAGACGACTGCGGGCCGTCTCAGGCTCGCGGGAAGGCTCGGAGATGCCCAAGGAGTTGGGGTCTGGCCCCCGCTTCCTGAGAGCAGGTCCACCCCCAGGCAGCTCGTCTCTCTTTTAAGACCAGACCCTGGCAGTTGGAAAGCAAAGCAATAATTTGATGCCAAATCAGTTGTGTGACCGTGAAGGTTAAAGCGTTGAAGGCTGGCATTATCTTTTTTAAAAACGTTTTCCTAAGTTTTAATTAAAGTGCAAACCCTGAAAAATATTTCTTAAATATTTTTCAAGTGTCGCGTCAGGTGATGTTTGCTTTGGATTTCACAATAACCAAATAACTTTGTGCTCGTGCCCATATAGAATTTCATCTCCTCCTGGGTGCCAGTGTTCTGCTGAGGCTCACCCCTGCAGTACCTGTCTTGTTCTGTCCCCGCAGTGCATCCGCGGACGCAAGGCCACCCTGGAGGAGCTGCAGACGGTGCACTCGGAGGCGCATACCCTGCTCTACGGCACAAACCCCCTCAACAGGCAGAAACTGGACAGTAAGAAACTTCTAGGTATTCCAAAGCCTTCTTTACCTTTACTGCCGAGGCTGTTTCCAGCCCTGCCCTCGCCCGAGGCCCCGCCGTCCCGCCTGCATGCCCCCCGCTGCACAGGCGAGTGTCGCCCACCAGGCTCTGTGCGGGCAGCTGGGGCAGGGATGACCCTTCTCCGTGGTGCCCAGGCCAGGCTCTCAGGTGAGGGGCCATGCTCGG